GGTACCGGCGACAGAGAGTGGTGCCGGGTGGAGCCCGGTGCCAGGGTGCACTCTTCACCAACGCTAAGGTGCTCAGCGAGTCGTGCCGAGATGGCTCGAACACCAGACAGAGGGCAGACTCCATAAGGAGACCTCGGCGTTGAATATCCCACTCCTTTTGCGTGCAGGGCCAAAAGTTCTTACAGATATAGCACTTGTCTTTGATGTGTGTGCCTCCCACAAGCACTTGAGACAACTGTCATGAGGGTCACTAACAGGCATAGGCCTGTTACACTCTGTGCAGGACTTGAAACCCAGAGATCGGGCCATGTCCTACAGGGGCAAAGTCCCTGCTGGGACCTTTACTACTAACAACTAAGCTATTAACAGGTACTTAACATTAACTACTAAGAATAACTATATACAAGGATTTAAGGCACAAGTCCAAGACGACAAAACTGCCAACCCTTTCCAAGCAAGGAAAGATGCTCTGACTGACGACCTCGGGCGGTAAGAAGGAACTGAAAGGGAGTAGGAACGGCGGTGCCTGATATCCAAGTGCATGATGTGGCACTCAAGGGGGCGCCACAGCCAGCCTTATGGATACCGCTAAGGCAAAAATCTCTGATGACCGCGCACGTGGCGGTGTGCACACCTACAATGGAATCAAGATGAGCAAGCACTTGAAGAAGAATTAATGTTCATGAAGTGCTCACATATGCCCTGCACCATTATAGCATATATACCTAATTAAAGACAGACAAAAGGGGCATCATCACTGGGAGACTACACTGTCTCCAAAGTAGGGACAACCAGACAGAATCCTGGGAATTGCCATCCATGAAAGATCAGAAGTATCTTCAGAACCCAGACCTTCAATGATTGATGTACCCTCTATATCCATAGCAGTTTCTTTTTCCTCCACAATGGAAATAAGTTCCCTGGTGCAGATCCTATCTGGGATCAGCTTCTGTTTGCCCTTTTGCTTGACAGCAGGGAGAGAGTAAACAGACTTCACTAAACATGGGGCATAGCACTGGGAGGAAAATTCAGCACTGACAGGAGATGGCTTAGCTGGAGACTCCCCCAATGCTGAGACACTCTGACAGTGAGGAACTCACACAAATAGCAGTATGCAGTTCATGGCTGAGAAGAGAGATCATCTAAATCCCTGGCACTAAGGATACCCCACCATCAGACACAGACAAGGGTGTTGACCTCATCATCTGATCAACCTCAGAACTGGTCCCACAGTGTTTGCCAGACTGAAGCTTGATAATAGTGGCTGGTCCCAGAATCAGTAGTTGGAAAGGAAGGAACTGAAGCTACTGAGGACCTCACTTCTCTTACAACTTCAGCTCTTAACATTCTGAGCTATGTGGGAGTGCTCATATAGTCCTAACAAACACTACTTTTCTGGAAGGTTCACAGTTCTTAGTGGGGTCGGCTAATGCCTTCAACAATAGGCCACCTTGTAGAAAAATATTTATTACTGGGGATGACACATGACTCAGGAAAAAAAAAATCCTACTTGACTTACATATTTCATGTTGAATCTTCAGGGTTGTCTGGTACCTTTTTACTTGTAAACTGAGAGACAATCATGGAACCTAAGGAAGCCATTCTTTAAGAGTCACTTCAGAGAAATACACATTGGCGACAATTTTCAAAAGTGGCTAATGATTTTGGATGCCCAATTTGAGACACCTTAAAGGGGCCTGATTTTCAGGTGGATACAATGATCAATACTTTCTGAAAAACAGGCCCCTTAAAGGGATCTCAGTTTGGGCATCCAAAAATGGAGACACCCAAAATCACTGATCGCTTTTGAAATTCTTGGCCTTAAGTTTCAAGAAAATAACACTGCTTTTTTATAGCACTTTAACTGGTCCGATTTGTGCATACTGCTCATTGCATTATGCAAACTGGGCAATTCTCCCTTGATTTCACACTTCCATTCTTATGATGAGCCGTTCTATAACTTTCCTAAAACCCCAAACTTTCTCTCTTACAAAAACATGTCCAGTCAAATATACAAAACAACCCAACAATACAGATGAAAAGAGAGAGACATTTAGAAAAGGTTTGTCATTAAAAATGGTTTCCCAGTCTTTTGTGACCCATCAAATATATAAAAATGCCACAAAGAAAAAATAGGTAAATGATGCACACACCTTAGAAAATATAAATCATTCAAATGTCACATGTGAGTGTTGCCTTACAATCCATAGCATTTTATCATTCTAAATAATGGATACAATAAACATACCAATACAAACTATAAGTCATAGCTATGTGAAAACACTTTGTTTCACAAGAGAATAACATGACTTGATTAGAAATGGGTCCAAAACAAAACACTGCATCCAATTTCTCCCTAAATTTTCTGGAAATTCAGATCTATATTCACACTTTGCAACTGACCTCTAACTCTGTATAGGCTGAACCAAACCCCTGAGTTCTAACACCCACATATTCTGTAAAAAATCATCAGGTCAGAAATGTAAAGTTTTGGTCCATTTCTACTTTTAATATTAACCTTCAGAGCAATTAAGGATGACACAGTCAAAGAGATCAAAAGGAGTTAATCACACAACTTCCACCAACTTTCAATAGGACCTGGGAATCTAACTCCCTTAAGCTCTCAGATTTTATAGGATACTATGTAAATTAACTTTACCCAACTGTATGATAATTTTTATCTCATGTTAGTTTGAATTCAGGACTAAGAAAGAAAAAATTCTCCACTTCCATTTTTGAATATTTCAAAACTGCATTTTCATTGGAAATGCCTACTAGGGCAGCTACTATATCCAAATAAGGAGTTTCCAGTGAAAATGAAGGGTCACATGCTTTCCTTACATAAAACTACATAGTAAGAGAATACTTACCTTATAAGTTTATCAGCTCTTGGAAAACCAAAATACCACCACATTTCCTTGTCACGCTGTTGCGTAAGTGACATTGTGGAGGAGGTAAGGGGTAGTACCCAAAGTTACTTGCATCAGCCAAAGACACACAGGAATTAATAGCAAAGACCCCAAAGATTTCAAGCCATATGCAGTTGTGGCTCTTGGCGCCACACTTCTCCTTGCCATCCCCAGAACAAAAGAATAGACGGTACAGTTGTTGTGTTGCCATTGTCTCCCCTGCCTGATATACTGTCATTAGTGGCCAGGAACTCCTCTTCGGGGGGGTCATACAGTTGATCGCATGAGTTAATGCTGCTCAGAGCAGCTGCACCTTCCAATTTTTTTGGACCCATTTCCATTGAGAGACAAGCCATATAAAGCAGCTGTTCCACCAGACCATTCCACTTTTTCCCTGTCTTGCTCTTCTGCAATGGGAATTATACAGCAGGACAGCAAGCAATTATGCTAGGAGGTTGGAGCACCGCATGTGGCCAGCCACCCCTTCCATACACCTTTAAACCCCTTTTCTTTCTAGTTTTTGTCCTTTTGTTCCCTTGCACTGCAGGGGAACAAATAGTCCCAAATATTTAAAGCTTCAAAAACAGCTGTAGAATCATCTTCCTTTTAATATTAAATGCCTATACAAGATTGTCACCACAAGCAGTAGAAAAGTCACCACAAAGTTGCAAAAATCTCATTTACCCTGTGGGGGAAAACAGAGGAACTGTTCCCCAAAGGTGAAATAAAACGGTTAAGCCAAAACATTATTAATTATGCAGGTAAAACAAAATTATATTACTTTTATCTACTAAATATAAGGAGCACAACATAGGAAAAATGATGCATGAGACCAGAAAGAAAACTCAGGCATAGTTACCATCACAAACATCTTGAGTATTGCACTTAATGTCATAATACCTATATCACAGATGTACATAGTCTTATACCTCCATTACCTGGTAATATTCATTTTTCTCTACCCTATATAAAAATTTAATCTTGCTGCACTATGTATTAAAAAGGTTAAGATAACTTCTAAGATATAATGTTTTGTTTACACACAAGTTTTAAAATATATATATTAAATGGGGGACATCCGCCCCTCAGAAGCACAACTTTACTTCAGTACATCTCTGTGGTCCTATGAGTATATTTAGTCAAAACTGGTGTAAAAACAAGAAATATTTTTACAGGTGATATTTTAAACTTTTTTGTAATACTTAGGCAGATGTATCAAATTTACTCATACCACAGACTATCAGAGACCCCCTGTTTGATGTATATTGTATACTCAACTGAAATGTAAGTGAACAAATGGAAAATATCAAAGGAATGATCTTCATTAACTCTTTATGAAAAAAGACTGCACTGTAAACCCTTGCATCGGGATGTATACTATATACTTTCTGAGCACTATCACAGCAATAAGCAGGTATGGTCTGCTTTCTTTCCAATATGTTCTGGAGTTCAGTGAGAAATACTGGCTTTCCCTTCATAAGAATACTCAGAAACAAGAACAAAATAGTGTTAATGGGAATAGTGTACTAAGAGACAATGCAGCTCTCTCCAATACGGCAGAGGAGCCCTTAGCAACAGAAGCACTATGCGTCCACTGTGCAAGTGGGGGCCAGGCAGGCATGCAAGGGGTTCAACCTCCTCATGTGCAATGTCGATCCTGGTTTCACTCAAAGGGTGGGAGCGGGCAGACATGGGTTGTATTTGGCAGGGTACATAACACAGCATGGATTCTACATCTTTCTCGCTCACAGGGGTTTGCACGAAAGGTCCATAGAGGTTACTTCAGCCATTGGACTGAAGTAACCGCAGAAGAACTGTTCTTCAACCAGAAGGAAGAGGGAAGACTTGTCCTCCTGACTCCATGCTTTTCTACCTCATGCCCAGCCCAGCTACTCACACTGTGTACTTAGCTCTTTATTTGTCCCCTAATCCCTTCACTGCCCAGTAACAATCTGCCATTTTAATAAACAGTGTGTTGCATAATGCACCTTATTTTAAGCATTCATTGCTGGTCAACGTACAACTCTACTTTTCAAAGCTTTGTAATAAAAACGCTTTATCTTGGATTATTATAAAGATAAGAAAACTTACCTTACTACCCCTTGCCTACACAGGAAGCAAAAAGGGAAAAATGAAGAAAGAGAAAACCAAAAATTAGTATATAGTTAAGAAAATTTTTAATTTTTTTTAACAGAACAGAATTGCAGTAATATATTAGCAGAAATCTGGGCTAAAAAATGAAAATGAATGCAGTGAATCAAATTCTGTCTCCATTACTCCTCCAGCCTCCCTACTTAGAAGGTTTTGGTCCTAACCTTTTAGGCCTTGATCCAATGTTCATTGAAGTCACGAGAATCTTCACACTGACTTCATTGGGGGCTGGATCAGCACTTTGTTTACAATGCTGTAGAATTTATTGCATTTGTACTTTTGACAAGGGGTCCAAATTAAGTTGCATGGATAATCTTAATTATGGTATATCCTTATTTTTGAGTGCCTGAATTCAATTTTTACCGTGAAAGCCATTGATCGTTCGGCCGTGTCCGCAGCATCCGAGGCTGCCTGCAGGGACGCCCTAGCAGCCGCTGCCCCTTCCTCCACTAGCTCCTTCCTATCATGCTCCTGGAGGGAGTCCTCAAACTTAGGCAGGGAGCCCCACAGATTGAATTCGTACCGGCCCAGGAGAGCCTGATGGTTTGCCACTCGTAACTGGAAGCTCGAAGATGAATAAATTTTCCCTCTGAAAGAGTCCAGTCTCTGAGATTCTTTGTTCTTTGGGGTTGGGGCTGGCTGACCCTGCCGTTCCCTGTGGTTGACCGACTTGACCACCAAGAAGTTGGGTGCCAGGTGGGTATAGAAGTACTCATGCCCCTTAGTGGGTACAAAGTACTTGCGTTCCGCCTTTTTAGAGATTGGGACCAACGAGGCCGGTGTTTGCCACAGGGCATTTGAAATCTTAGCCACCCCTTCATGGAGAGGTAAGGTCACCCTACCTGGTGCCGATGGGGACAATATGTTAAACAGGGAGTCCGAGGGCTCCTTCATCTCCTCTGCCTGGAGGTGTAGGCTTACTGCCACCCTCTTTAAGAGTTCTTGGTGGGCCCTGAAGTTCTCCTGCAGGATGGAGGGGGGCGGGGCTGCAATCACCTCCTCTGGGTGGGGCAAAGAGGTCGGTGCACTGCTCTGGGTGTCGGCCAGCACCGGAGGGTCCACCACCTGGTCGGACTCCAGGCACCGTGCCGAGGACGTACATCCCCCCGACTCCTTTCTCGGGGATCTGGAGAGGGAGGCTGACGGTGCTTCCGAAGCTCCAGCCACCGAGCGAGCTCCCACCGGGGGCTGCGCTGGAGGCCACGGTGCCCACTGGTACCATTGGGCCGGCCATGACGCTTGGTGCCACTGCACCTGCTTTGGCACCGGTGGGGCTGGCTGTCCGGGTCAGCTGGCCTGGCCCATCAAAGGACTGCTACGAATGGAGACCAGGCTGGCGTAAGATCTGCTGCTGTCTCTGGACCGGCGGTGCCAGGATCTACAACAGCCACGGAAGTGCGATCTAGACATGGAGGACCGGTACCAACGGTAATAGCTGCTCCTCAAATGGCCACGATGGGTGGACCCGCGATGGCGAGACGCTGGTGATCGATGCCCAGGGCTGCGATGTCTTGGCGGAGACTTGGAGCGGGAGTCCGAGTAGGAACAGCATCGACCACCGTGCCGTGACCGACTGTGGTGCCCTCTCCAAGACGAGGACCGACGGCAATATTCCCGTCAATATTCGCTCCTTGAGGATGAGCGGTGCCGCGAGACCCGGACGGACAGGACCCAGCCAGACAGTCTGGTCGGCGTTGAGGGCAATCCACCTGGACTCTGCCCCGAGTGGTCGCTGGGCGGTGATCGGCGTCGGGAACATTCCCCCAACCGAGACTGGTACCGGGCCGGAGGCGACTGTAGAGATCCCAGCGGTGGCTTGCCTCTGGAGCGCGGGGCCGACATCGGCAGCGCTCCGGGCACCGGCATGGACATGACGTCCCAGGCTGCCTGGAAGGCTTCAGGCGTGGACGGCATCCAGACATCCGGAGATGTCTGTCCCGAAGGGGACGGACTACTCTGCTCAACTTGAGTTGGAGGCCTGGGGCCCGGTGGGGATCAAGGACTGCCCGACATGGGCCTAACCTCTGTCCCAGACTTCCCTCGGTGCCGCTGCGAAGAGGGAGTCTTCCTGGCTCTTTTGGCATTCCCCATGAATGGGGAGTGGTGCCAGCTGGTTGATGGCACTGGAGGATCGCCGCGTACCCACGCCGTGGTGCCAGTTCGGAGTCAGCACCAACTCCATCAGGATGGCCCGGAGCCTAATGTCCCTTTCTCTTTTGGGCCGAGGCTTAAACATGCAAATCTTGCACCTTTCGCTGATATGGGTTTCTCCCAAGCAGCGCAAAGAGGGTGCGTGAGGGTCACTTCTTGGCATAGAACGCCTACAAGAGCTGCATGACTTAAACCCGGGGTTGCAGGGCATGCCCCGGCCCGGGTTCACTGACTAAACTAACTAAACAGCTAACTAACTTCAGGTACTAACGCTGAACAAACGAACAGTTCTGGGAACAAGCTACAGCAAAGCTGGAGCAGAGCAGTTCCGATGCACCTTCACTGGTGGCAAGAAGGAACTGAGGGTGCGGGGAGCGAGCAGCTCCCCTTATACCACGCCAGGCAGGCACCACTGCAGGGGTCACGGGGGTGCTCCCCTCATACGGGTACTGCTAGGGGAAAAACTTCCGGCACCGGTGCACGTGGTGAGCACGCACACCTATTGTGGAATACACATGAGCAATCACTCGAAGAAGAACAGAGGCAAATGACCATATTATCCAAGAAATTCCTCAAATGTTATCATTTGCACAGGGCATTTATGCATTTTTTTAAATTCCCTCCATTTAGAAAAATGGAGGCATGATCTAGATGTAAATAATTGTCTGGTCAAAGATGTTTCAAAAGTCGTACTGATTTAAAATGTGTTAGCTCTCTTTATGCATTCAATGCATCAATGTAATTATGTTTTATTATAAAATATATCTGCTACTTTTCTTAGCTACATATAACTCCAATTTAGAACTTACCTTTCATCTAGTGATGGCTCCTTTTGTTGCAGATGAGGCTTAATTCCAAACATTGGTCTGATGTTTGTTGATAAGGCTTTGATGGTGTAATTAATTTCATTTTCTCGTGTCACATCACTGTCATAACCTAATAAAATCAATATAGTAAAAAGGACTAAGAGAAATAGGAAGTGAAAAATAATAAATAATTATTTTATTTCTGTAGCATCCCTTCTGCCAGAGCACTAGGCAATCAAATAAAAAGTAATACAATATACATGTAATTAAATACCACCTTCTTAGACAGACAAGGTGGTTGAGGTAATATCATTTATTGGACCAACTTCTGTTGGTGAGAGAGACAAGATTTTAAGCTTACACAGAGCTCTTCTTGTCTCTCCAATATCCTGGGATCAACACGGCTACAACACCACTGCATACCACCTTCTTAAAATACAAACTCAAAAATAAATTAGGGAGTCCACTTTAAAAAAAAAGAAGTGATTAAAAGATAAAGAGAGGGTCAACAAGAGTCATTTAAAAATATCAGTAGGAAAAAATGCAATGCATTCTTTAAAATGTGGAAAGACAACACAGAAGAATTTCAAAGGGCAGTAATTTCAACCACCATAGGGCAGCGGCGGGCAACCTGCGGCCCCCGCAGGCTGCATGTAGCCCATCAGGGTAATCTGATTGCGGGCTGTGAGACAATTTGCTGATGTTGAGCGTCCGCAGGCACGGCCCCCCGCAGCTCCCAGTGGCCGCAGTTCCCCGTTCTGCAACCAGTGGGAGCTGCGGGGGGCTGTGCCTGTGGATGGTCAACATCAGCAAAATGTCTCGCGGACCACAATCAGATTACCCTGATGGGCCGCAGGTTGCCCACCACTGCCATAGGGTCTTCCATGCCAAACCTGCAATTGTCTGCTAATTAAGTAGCAAATAAAGATGTAAAACTAAATTACTTAGATCAGTGGTCTCCAAAGTGGGGTGCGCAGTAGGAGGAGCGCTTTATTTATTTTTTTTGGCTTCATCAGTTCAGGCAAGAGTCCGGGCAGGAGTCCAAGCGGCTTTTTTTGTTTTTGCTTCAGCAAAAATGGTAGAGCCGGCGCGGCAGTGGGTGCGTGCTCAAATTTTTTTTACTGATGGGGTGCACGATCAAAAAAGTTTGGAGACCACGGACTTAGATTATGTATAGTTATTTCTATGCTGCCTGTTTTAATGTTTTTGCACAGCTATTCCCCTAAACTTGTAAACGTTATGGTCGACTTGATATCAAGTTCAAATAAAGGGCATGTCATGGGAGAAGCGTGACTGGGAAGATTATCCCTATGGCTTGGTTAGCAGCTGTTTGAACTGCTATAGAGGAAGTCCTTGTAATGTCATGATTTCTTAGGCTGGCAGAGAGATATTGGGAATGTCTGAATTTTTCTCTTGCACTTATGGTCTGTGAATGATTGCTCTTTGTTGTAGTTTCTTTGTAATTGTAATCTCAAGCATTTCCAAGATGGTAGTACGGCAGGTGCCCCCAAACTGTTGGGTGTACCCCTGTGGGGGGATGCGGAGGAATGTTGGGGGGCGTGACTGGGGCCGGGCCAGCTCCCACAGGGGGTGGGAAGGGAGCACCACCGAGCTCTGCTTCTGGCCCCGCGCCTCCTTCCAGCCCCCTTCCTTCTGTCCACGTCCCCACCTTCCGGAGCTGTGGCCCTGCTCCTGGCCCTGGAGGGCGAGAGGGAGGGGGAAAAGAGGGATGTGGCTAGGAGTAAGGGGGGCGAGCGGTAAAAAGTTTGGGGACCACTGTAGTATGGTTAGTTTAGATATCTGTCTCACCAGAAAATAACAGAAAAATAAAAAGTGGTGGGCCAGTGCCTGCACAACTTACTGAAGTGAAATGTCAATTTAAGTGAATTGGACCCAGATTTGTTACCAAGTCTCATTTTACACACACACACACACACACACACACACACACACACACACACACACACACACACACACACACACACACACACACACACACACTACTAC